CACTGATGCTGATCTTTTCTCTTGGGTTCCCAGCTGCTTTAGATCTTTTTCCTCATCGTCCACCCATCTAAGCCTAGGTCTGCCTTTGGGTCGCTTTCCTCTGGGGTTTTGGTGTGCACCCTCCTCACTCATCTGTCATCCTTTCCAAATGCCTCTTCCCCCAACCGCCGGCGTCTATACCCTGTCCTTTATTTCTTTCTGCTACTTGCGTGAGATCCTGATATAGACTGTACAATTCCTGGTTGGTTCTTATTCCCCCCCCCCATCCATATTCATCCTTTGTTGTTCCGTATATTTTCCGAAGAGACATGAGCATATTCATGAGAAATCTGCTCATCATACACGGATAGAGATAAGAGCATAGTCCCATGAAACCTGCTCATCATACACGGCTAGAGATAAGAGCATCGTCCCATGAAACCTGCTCATCATACACGGCTAGAGATAAGAGCATCGTCCCATGAAACCTGCTCATCATACACGGCTAGAGATAAGAGCATCGTCCCATGAAACCTGCTCATCATACACGGCTAGAGATAAGAGCATCGTCCCATGAAACCTGCTCATCATACACGGCTAGAGATAAGAGCATCGTCCCATGAAACCTGCTCATCATACACGGCTAGAGATAAGAGCATAGTCCCATGAAACCTGCTCATCATACACGGCTAGAGAAAAGAGCATCGTCCCATGAAACCTGCTCATCATACACGGATAGAGATAAGAGCATCGTCCCATGAAACCTGCTCATCATAAAAGGATAGAGATATGAGCATCGTCCCATGAAACCTGCTCATCATACACGGATAGAGATAAGAGCATCGTCCCATGAAACCTGCTCATCATACACGGATAGAGATAAGAGCATAGTCCCATGAAACCTGCTCATCATACACGGCTAGAGATAAGAGCATATTCCCATGAAACCTGCTCATCATACACGGATAGAGATACGAGCATAGTCCCATGAAACCTGCTCATCATACACGGATAGAGATAAGAGCATAGTCCCATGAAACCTGCTCATCATACACGGCTAGAGATACGAGCATAGTCCCATGAAACCTGCTCATCATACACGGCTAGAGATACGAGCATAGTCCCATGAAACCTGCTCATCATACACGGCTAGAGATACGAGCATAGTCCCATGAAACCTGCTCATCATACACGGCTAGAGATACGAGCATAGTCCCATGAAACCTGCTCATCATACACGGATAGAGATACGAGCATAGTCCCGTGAAACCTGCTCATCATACACGGATAGAGATAAGAGCATAGTCCCATGAAACCTACACGTCATACAAGGAAAGAGATACGCTGGCTCACATTCTGGACAAATATAGTATGCAATGAAGGAAGCGCTGAATTTTTAATGTAATTTTTCTCGGATTATACCATTCAGAAAATAAAGGGTACGTACATCCCATTTTGGATCCCTTGGTGTTAAGCAAGACTGCAGGATTTTATCAGCTAACTGTAGAGAGCTTCGATATTCCGGTGCTGGCCTGCAGCAATGTCAACACGAAAAGGAACCACGGAGACAAAGCCCTGCGTGTCACCACTCGTTGGACCCAGCAACATGAACAAAGCCTTCATTCCAACGCCTCTTCAGAACAAAAGACTGGCGTTTCTGGGTAGACGTGAGAAAACAAACAGTTTGTTTTCCTTTCGTTTACGACTAAACATGTCTTGACCGATTCTTGAATGCTGAGCAAATGACTCCATGAACACAAGAAACATCAGTGGCGTGCCTTGCCTAAATGCCGCCCGAGGCGTACCACTAAAAGTGACCCCCCCCCCAACCTAACACACAAACTCTTACATTATTTATATGATGTTGTATTAAAGACCCTAAAAGTTCCGCCGGGGGCAGTCCCTCCCTTCGCCCCAGGCTAGTTACGCCACTGACCTGCGAGCTGGGTAATTTCATTACCCGGTAGTAATCTTCTGGGCGGTCTTACTTGTTTATGTGTCTTACTAAAACACATTCAAAATAATGTCTTTAGGAAATAGTGATTCAGTTTTAAAATGTAACGATAAGATAGTTTAAAAAAAAAAAAATTGTTGCCTTCCAAAAGCACAGCAGATTCTTGCAATGCGTCTGACTGTAAATATTTCTGGGACAAAAAGTATAAACCGGTTACTTTTTTGAAATTCCCCTTTTCACAACTCTTAGAAAAGAAAAGTAGGCCTATCACACGTGTTGGTGTTTTGGAGTAATGGTAACAGTTTCCTTAGCCAGCCGTCAAAAACCCTCATGATCGAGACTATAAACACGTGGCTCTCAAACATTTTTTATTTAAAATCACACAATCATATAGTGAGTTCCCACGGGACTCTAACGCACGAGTGGGCAATTATTTTCATTATTTTCGCCAGCCGTTTCGGGTCCCATATAGCTAATATCGCCGCTGTAACCATTTGAGAATCACTGCTTTAAACATAGTCTGACCCCGATGCACAGGACTAAACTGGGATGGAAGTCACTTCTTCTTGTTTCTTTCGTAATCAGTCCAACAACTCTCTTGTTCTTCTTCACCAACTTTTCTCCGAGTCTTGCCACTGCCCTCTTGAGAACCACTGGCTAAGATCAATGAATTCATCGCTCTATATTAATCTGTCATCATGCCAAATCAAGAGAGCAAAAGTAAAATGTTGTTGTCCAGAAAACATTCCCATTAGGGTTGGCTGTCACAAGATCCCAAGTTGCCTAAAGTGTATAGATCAGCGGTTTTCAGCCTGTGGGTGGCGACCCATTTGGGGGTCGCAAGAGCCATTCCCAGGGGTCGCCTAAGATCATCTGAAAACACATACAATCTACAGTTATGATGTAGCAACGAAAATAATTTTTTGGCAGGGGGTCGCCACAACACGAGGAGCTCTATTAAAGGGTCACGGCACTAGGAAGGTCGAGAACCACTTGTATAGATCTATATACCTTAACTAAGTGTTTACTAATAACGCTTGGGGTTGGGAGATTGTGGGTGGAAGCAGAGGCGTACCCAGCGTGTTCGACGCCCGGGAATAAGATTCATGTCCCCCTCCCCCCCACACTCAAATCTAAAACCCATTACCTTTACAAAAAAATACCGTCAAACCCCTTTTTGGCACCCCACCAGTCTTGTGCCCGGGTACATCTGCCCCTTTTGCCCCGAATAGCTAGGCTTCTGGGTGGAAGGAAGTCAACGTGTTTCACTGGGCGTCGAGTACCTTAGAACAGTGTTTCTCACGTGGGCCAAAATGCCCCCCCCCCTCTGCCTTTTTCTTGGGGGGCCAAGAAAAACTTTGAAAGAAGGATTTTATTTAGATTAACAAAACATTTATAAAAAAATGTGAACAACAGGGAAGAGGGTCACGGAGATAAATAAAATGTTTAAGTTGGATACGGGTAAAACAATAATTGAGAAACGCTTCTATTATAGTCATAAATTGTGCAGTCTAGAGTTCGCATTCCTATCTTGGTTTCCCATTGCGCAATGACAGGTGCACTCTTCATCCTGCATTCCATTCGAATAGTCCAAGCCATTTACTCCCCCCCCCCCCCTACTTTTTTGTTTTTGTGTTGGTCTACATGTTTCGTCATCAGCTTTACTTTACTTTTGTTAAGAACGAAAAAAGGGGGTTGGGGTGTAGGACCGCCTCAATTAGACGTTAATAATATAAACACAAATCTAACTTTATTAATTGAATGATACAGTTAATGTCCCAGGACTAGGCCTATATAAGAATCTAAATGAGTGTTCACCTTATAACGGACTTAAAACAACTTTTATCACTCAGTCAAGCTTGTAGCCTAGCCTAGTGCAGGAATGTTAAATTATTTAAATCACATGGCTCATATGTCATCAATAACATCGATCACAGTAAAAACCGGTGTGTCATCGAATGCATAATGTCTAGGTCCACGAAGGGGTTGGCCATCTATTTTACGCTATGAAAATATTTTGGAATATCACCATATAAAAGCAGCATCGATTCCCTCAAACTTTAAATCAACAGAATTCAGAAAACAAAAAACGTATTATTTTTTGTAAGGTTATGAACTGATTTTTTAAAAAATTAGTCCAATAAAGCTATAAAATGATAAATCTAGCATATTAAAATATTGTTATAAACTTAGTGAACAAGTGTACATATGCTTACTAATAGTTAACTAAGAAGAGCCAGCATGGGGTGAGGAATTCTGGGACCATGGCCATGGGAACTAAGGTTGTTAAGGTTATGACTAGCTTCGAGGACGACAAGAAGGCTAGGGCCAGCACCGCCTTTTTTTATCTGCCTTAAAATTATAACAACTAAATGATTACAGGATAACCTGCGCCTGCAGCCCTTTAACTTGAAACAAGGAACAACACTGACTACCAACTACACAAAACACAATCACACACAGACTACCACAATAAAAACAAATATTTTTAAGTCATACATTTACATTATTTCGAAATCAAAGGTCATAAGAATCTTCAGTATCAATTTTCAGAATATGGAAATTCTATAGTTTAATTAAAATTGAATTAACAGTTTATCATAAAAATTAAACTAATTTGCGAATACCGTAATTGATTTCCAAAAAGAATTGTATTGTATGACGTCTTTTTCTTGTCAGTATTTAATTGTTAAAATTTAAAAGAATTCAATCAGTAATCTGAGTACCGGTATCAGTGATCAGAATCGTCAATTAATTCCACTGTGATTTAAATTTAATATGATTTATATTATATTTATATAAAATAAAAATGAATTTGTCAATGACCAATCACTCATGTTTTGTGGAATTTTAATGTGAAGTCATAAGGATTGTATCTGTAAACTTTTTAATTAAAAAAACATAAGTTCAAGTTTCAAGCAACGTGGAATTTTTTTCCTCAGTAAGACGTATTCGAGTAGTCAAAGTTGAGTCATATGCTTCCATAGCTGTTTACGTTTAGTTTTAACTCCATGGCGACGCGCGTGTCCTCCATCTCTATAAAAGCAGTGGCTCGCGATCGACCTTTCAGTTTAGTGCGCAGCCGCTCTGTTCGACACATTACCGTCGTGCCAAGAGGGATCTTCCACTTCTTTTAGAATTTTTTTCCAAATTTATCTTTCTCTTTAATACCCACTTATCAGCCAAAATGGTAAGCAGGATATTGTATATGTATTCATTGCATATCTTTTGAATATCTTTGCCTTGCGATAGTTAGCCTCTTTGTCAACATTGTGTCGTTAGGCGTGAACCTCTTAAAAAAAATCAATTGGTTGCCGCCATTTTCGCTGTCGGGCAGTTCTTATTCGTATTTTGCGCCAATACCAAATTCTCCCATTCTCACACGAACTTCTTTACTTATATTTGGTGTCTGTAAAAAATAATGCCTAATAAATATAAATAAATTGAATATAAAATTGTAGGCCTAAATGTATATATAATAACTCTTATCAGATTTATGTACACAAAGAAAAAAATTTAAATTAATAACTTTTACTTTTACCAAGTGGCTATTCGGCCCGGGTATCAGAAGAGAGAGGTTGGGATTTAAAAAAAAATATTTAAAATATAATTGTAGGGTTTTTATTACTTTTACCGAAAGACCTACATGTAATAGTAAAATGTATGTAAACTCACTTCTTCAGTTTAACTACCACAAATGACATCCGAAAAGCATGACAAATGGGACCCGGGTGCGAATGGCTGAGATGTTAGTTCATTTTGATTAAATGCTATTTGGATGTCATTTGTTGTAGTTTATTTTAGTTAAACTGAAGAATTAAGTGTACAAACATAGTCCATTCAATTAACTTTCATTTGATACCTCATTTCGTCTTACAAACTCAACAATAATATTTTTAATAGTTTTTTAATCCCAACCTCTCGCTTCTGGTACCCGGGTGCGAATAGCCACTTCGTAAATTTTAAGCTGGCCTAATGCCTAATACTAATGTGACAACGTTACCAAAATAAATATGAAATGCTAAAATTACAATGGACGAATCATGTGATTTAAAAAGCAAAAAAAAAAAGCAAAAAAAAAAAAAGCATTAACTTCTTTTTTTTATTATATTTTTATTTTTTTTTTTATTTTTTTTTTTTTTTTTTCTTTTTTTTTTTTTTTTTTTTTTTTTTTTTTTTTTTTTTTTCTAGCTTTGAACTTAGATGTTTTTGGGAGAAAAAACCAAACAAAATGAGTAGTAGTAGCAGTTTAATAGCCTACATTAGACTATAGGGGCCTAATTATAAAGATTGGTCTTTTACTTTTATAAATTATTATAATTTATACTTAGTTATAGTTAGTCACTAAATAATTTATATCATATTATGGTACGTCAAAAAAATCAGCTTTGGCTTTGGCCTACCCTACAACACATTCACAGACAATGACAATGTAGGCCTACCTTATAAGTCATAAGTAAAATCAATGAGTCAACGTTGATATTAATCATTAATGTCATTAGAGTAGACATATAATTATAATATACGAATTATACATTTCATCATGCTCAAATGTTAGAGTTAGAGCAAGATGACCTTGATACAATTACTTTTACTCTCCTATATATCAAAATGTAGGCTACCAACTGAATTCTGTTAAATTTTATATTTTATTTATTATTGTTGGTTGCCTAATTTAAAGGCGAAATTAATTTAAAAAACATTTTGTCAAACCAAGATTGTGATTAACCAGAGACCTACTACTAACTAAAAAATACTGATTTGTTAAGACTAAGAGATACACCTGATGATACTAAATGAAAGATACTGATTTGCTAAGAGACACCAATACAAATTTCACAACACAGATTATTTGGTCAATTTCATTGACAATCTTTGTGTAAACTGAAACTGTATGTGAAAGTTCAAATAGTAAATTATTGACACCATAGAAATAACATGAAATCTGTTTTTGAGAACTAACAAGACATTCTGCCCAGTAGCATTTTGTGCCCTTTCTGACTTTTAAAGGCTTTACTTTCATTTTTCTCATTCTATTTCTCTTTTAAAAATAATAAGATAGAATGCAAATGCACAGTAATGCTATTTATAAGTAAAAAATTACTGTCGTTTAGTGTAATATGCAATGCAAAGTTTATATTGGGTGGAAAAAATATTGTAATGTAAGGAGTTTAAAAAAAAATTGCATTCCTTTTATTGAGTTAAGTAGACTGAATTTTACTCAATCTTCACAATTGAATTGAAAGTCCATGCATTGGATGAACTTGGCAAAACTGCCCATTTACAGAGGTTCAGGCAGAAAGATTATTACTTTGGCACTACTTTGGTGCTGCTTCTTCAGTTTGTGAATACCAGATCTTTTGCTCAAAACATTAACAGGAGGATGGACAATGTCTTGTTATACTTATTTGAGCAGTAAAAAGACTGATTTGAAAAATCTTCCAAATATTACATCACTCTAAATGAAAATGTTCATTTGGTGGAGCCATAATATAAAATACAACAGTAAATTAGTGTAATACAATAAGAAAACTGTTTATTTTATGGGGTACCGGGTATTCAAGCAGTTGGACATCATTCAACAACACGAGTCATCAATAATGAAAATGATTCATTATTTTACTCCTAAAACAACCCCTTTCATTTTTTAATTGTCCTTTTCTTGTTTATTTATCTCCACTTCATTATCTCCTTACAATATCTGAAACTTTCTAATTTTGTATCTTCTGCTATTAGCGTGAGTGTATTTCCATCCATGTTGGTCAAGCTGGAGTCCAGATTGGTAATGCCTGCTGGGAGCTGTACTGCCTTGAGCATGGTATCCAGCCAGATGGTCAGATGCCATCAGACAAAACCATTGGAGGTGGTGATGACTCATTCAACACCTTCTTCAGTGAGACTGGTGCAGGCAAACATGTACCCAGGGCTGTCTTTGTTGATCTTGAGCCCACTGTTGTTGGTAAGTTAAATAAAATACTGAAATAAAATGAACAAAAAAAAAGCTGTCATTTTAATTTTTAAAAATTAAAAATTTTTCAAAACATAAAATTATAATTTTGAAATTTGTTTCAGATGAGGTCCGCACAGGAACTTACCGCCAGCTATTCCACCCTGAGCAGTTGATCACAGGAAAAGAAGATGCTGCTAATAACTATGCCCGGGGCCATTACACTATTGGCAAGGAAATTGTAGACCTAGTGCTGGATCGTATACGAAAACTTGCCGATCAGTGTACTGGGCTTCAAGGCTTTCTCATTTTCCACAGGTAATGTTGATTTTACTTGTAGAAGAGTATTTCATTTTACATATTGTCATTCCATTCTAAACAGAATTAAAAATATTTATAAAGCTTTTCTCTAAATTTCATTCGAAAAGAATATTACTTCTCAATTTCTAATCTTCAATTTTGAGATTTAAAAAAAAAGGAACTTAAATTTGATAAGCTACCTATAACTCTTATATAAGATCATACAGCGTAATTTATTAATTATTTTTTGAACATATGTTATTTTAGAAAAGACATACAACTTTTCAATTGATTATAGCTTTGGTGGTGGCACTGGCTCTGGCTTTGCATCCCTGCTCATGGAGCGTCTCTCTGTTGACTATGGCAAGAAATCCAAGTTGGAGTTTGCCATTTACCCAGCTCCTCAGATCTCCACTGCTGTTGTAGCTTTGGTGGTGGCACTGGCTCTGGCTTTGCATCCCTGCTCATGGAGCGTCTCTCTGTTGACTATGGCAAGAAATCCAAGTTGGAGTTTGCCATTTACCCAGCTCCTCAGATCTCCACTGCTGTTGTTGAGCCCTACAACTCCATCCTGACCACCCACACCACACTGGAACACTCCGACTGTGCCTTCATGGTGGACAATGAGGCCATCTATGACATCTGCCGCCGCAACCTTGACATTGAGAGACCAACTTACACCAACTTGAACCGTCTGATTGGCCAGATTGTCTCATCCATCACTGCATCCCTCAGGTAAGCTTTCATAGCCCACTAAATTTGTAGATTTGCTTTTTCACAATTTTTATCCTTCCAGTATTTGATAAGTTTGAATATCTGTTAAATTGATAGCTAATATAATTTCAATTTTCTAGGTTTGATGGTGCCCTGAATGTTGACTTGACTGAGTTCCAGACCAACTTGGTGCCATACCCACGTATCCACTTCCCACTGGCCACCTATGCCCCAGTCATTTCTGCTGAGAAGGTAAGATGCATGGCATTTTATCAAAACTTATTAACCTTGAAAGAGTTAAGATTTAATTCACAATTTGTACAATCCCTTGTGATTCATCTATAGCATAAGTCTTTGTAATTTTCCAGGCCTACCATGAGCAACTGTCAGTTGCTGAGATCACCAATGCTTGCTTTGAGCCAGCCAACCAGATGGTGAAATGTGACCCACGTCATGGCAAGTACATGGCCTGCTGTATGTTGTACAGAGGTGATGTTGTCCCCAAGGATGTCAATGCTGCTATTGCTACCATCAAGACCAAGAGGACCATCCAGTTTGTTGACTGGTGCCCAACTGGCTTCAAGGTATGTACATGGCCTGCTGTATGTTGTACAGAGGTGATGTTGTCCCCAAGGATGTCAATGCTGCTATTGCTACCATCAAGACCAAGAGGACCATCCAGTTTGTTGACTGGTGCCCAACTGGCTTCAAGGTACCGTACTCATTACTGTTTTTTAGTATACAGCATAACAATTAAAGGACTGGTTTTTATGCTTTTTTGTTAACTTTGGTTGGCAGATTTAAATACATAATTTTATGCTAAAATGACTCTATATGACAAAGAGTTTCAGTGAAATTAAAAATCAAGTTTTTTCTTTAAACTATGAGGGATTTTTAACCTGATTTAGCTAATGTTATATATATTTATTGATTGTCAAATTATGACAATTTCTATTCCAGGTTGGCATCAACTACCAGCCACCAACTGTTGTGCCTGGAGGTGATTTGGCCAAGGTCCAGCGTGCAGTGTGCATGTTGAGCAACACAACTGCTATTGCTGAGGCCTGGGCCAGACTCGACCATAAATTTGATCTCATGTATGCCAAACGTGCCTTTGTCCATTGGTAAGAAGACTTCACATAATATGTCTGTAGTCATAAGAGTTACTTAAAGATTAATTTCTAGAGAATATTAATATGCCATTGTTATTTGTTATTAAGTCATCTGTTAAAATTGACACCAAGATGGAATTAATATTTATACATATTTTTCTAGGATGTTCAATATATTCAACTTTCCTATAGTTGTTTAACTTTCCTAAAATGTTTTGTTTTCAATAGGTATGTGGGTGAGGGCATGGAAGAGGGTGAATTCTCAGAGGCCCGTGAAGATCTGGCTGCCCTGGAGAAGGACTATGAGGAAGTTGGTGTTGATTCAGTTGAAGGAGAGGGAGAGGAGGAAGGAGAAGAATACTAAGCAGACCTAAAGTTCTCAGCATTAAGTTTATATTGCAGCACCACTTTTACATCCTTGTGTCTTATCTAGAGAAGTCCTGAGACATTTTTTTCAATAAGGGCTTTGCAGTCATGTAGCCTTGGTATTGTTTTATAGCTTTTTGTTGAAGGATAAATGGGTTGTCGAAGTCCTTTATCTTACAGGCCTTTTTTTAAAGTTTTAGTTTAATAAAATATTAATGGAAAGTTGTAAATGTTTAAATTAATCATCTTCAAAAAAGCAATTTATAAACACTTTGTTTTGGTGATACAACCAACAGATTTCATAGACAAAATTTCCCTTCATACATTAACTGACATGAAGACAAAATCTGGTTTACTGTGATAAAGCACTCATTTATTTTAGTGAAAAATATTTATTTTGCCTAAAAGCATGTTCAGGTTTCATTGTCGGTTGAATTTTAGAATGTAAAATTTTTTAAGCTTTTTTTTTATGAGTTTAAATATTAATTTTAATGTGGCTATTGTAATTTGCATTTAGTTCAGAATTACGAACTACCATTCCAGATGTTAAGTTATACACTCTTATTCCTCAATGCACGTCATTAAGTAATGTTTTTGACATCAGTGATGTGTCCTAGTCTACAGGTTCGTTTTATAAGTTGGTACATTTTTGTTAAGCCTGAATGGAGAATTAAAAGTTATACCTAATTCTTTTATATAATGGTTCAGTATTATTTGATAAAACTTGTTTCTGTATGAGTGAAGGTATTATGTACCACATGTTCAAATTTTGTCATGTAAAAAAAACCAACATATAACAACAAATAAAAAACACAGACATAAACTTATCAAAAATATCTCTTCCCACCAACTCCCAAATGACCTCTGGACATCTTTTTTTTCACACCAACATAATTAGATGGCTCAATTTTTTAAAGATAATTAAATTAGTTTCCTTTAACTCCTGCTAAAAAAATATGCGAAAAGAAAATCTCACCATGACGTGCGATCCACTTGAAATTTAAAAATTTTCCAACACTCTTCAGACATTCTCAAATTTTGGTCCGCTGTGGCCAAATCTTTACATTTAATGTCCTCAAAACTAGGTCAGTTTAAGGATACTTAATTAATATTTTTGAGCCTCCATTTGAATGTTGTAGTCAATGAAGTCAAATAAACTGCAAAGCATTGCCCATGAGATGGTCTGCTTATTTGTCATAATAAATCATAAATAAATGCAAGATATCAAATAATAATTTCATCCCAATTGAGGAAAATCTGAAAAAATTGGTCAATATTGCTACAAAAGCAACTCGAAAAAAAAAATCTTAAATTCTGTATGTTTCCATATATGAATATGAGTTCATGATTTACAAGTCCATTTTACTGTTTGAAAGTATGCCTAAGGCAGTGGTTCCCAACCTCTTTGACTCATAAAGCCCATTTTAGAATCAATTATAAGCCCCTTAGTCTTAAAAGTTAATGCTGTTTCCAGGAGCGGCTGCAGAGAAGAGCACACCGAGCTGTCAGGGCTCTGAGCACAGGATGGTAAACACTGGCCTTGGGGATGAACACTGATACTCTTCATCTAAAGTACTGGGACTAAAATATTACACTCGAATATCAGGAGGTTAACTACATATCTGATAAGACATACACAGCAAAGATTAACACTGGAATGGAAATGCAGCATACAGCTGCATAGAAGGCTCTGCACCGGAATATCTTAAAGAACTTATTTATAAACATGTATCCTTAAAGAACCTGCGGTCTTCAGCACAGTCCTTACTGAAAATTTCCAGTGTGGATGAACACAGAAAAATGTCTTACGGGGTGCGCTCTTTTGAAGCGATAGCGCCAAAATTATGGAACAGTTTGCCTATATCTCTGAGGGGAATTGAAAATTATAAAAAATCATTTAAGAAACATTTTAAAACTTTTGTATAAATAGATTTAAGAAAACCAGAGCGCAGTGAGCATGCTAAAGTAGCATGGATACCAGCGCTTTATAAATATCCAATCAAATCAAATATTTTGAGATTGCTTGCAAATTATTTATAACAACATTATTAGCCTATATGAGGTTCTGAAGTATGGTGAATTGACACAATTTATGTTATCAATAATAAAATGTCAAAAGATTCATTATTTATTTTAAAGCATTGATTTAACAGAAGTCTAAGATTTAGAGGTCTGAGTTAATGGATAGTTCACTGTTATTTCATTCATCATAATTCATGGTTATCTAAACTAAATTTCTCTTTAGTTGGTGATTAACTGCTTTGCCAAGAAAAAAATGGCACTTTTCGAAAGCAAATCTCATATTAAAATTTAAAAAAAAGTAATTAAATACATATGGTATCCAGGGTTTATTTTAATTTTCAGTCTGCAAGTATTGGCTGTATTTATTTTGCTTAAAAAAAATGCACATACACTGGTACAAGCAGATTAAGTCCATTAATCAGATATCAGTTATGATAGATACAAGGTTTAAATTCTAGGCGTTTCATATGTTGTATGAACATTTATAACTTACATTTTTTTCAAATGATTGATAGACCAGAGAGCGGATATGACCGTCTACTAAAATTTGTTGGATCTCTTACTAAACATTTTCAAAATAAATCATGTTATATTTTTTCAAACAGAGTAAATAAGACCTTTCAAAGGAGGGATTTGGAGAAGGCTTTTTTTGTCAGAACTCGACTCCGGACAAATTTTTGTCAGCTACTCTCTGAGCTCTGGCAAAATTATAAATTAGAAGTGGTGGTTAAATGGGGTGCTAAATGTTTGAAAAAATGTGTTTATCATCGTCATTAACTCACCTTAATAAATTAGCTAGGCCATAGAAATGCATGTATTATCAACATAGCCGTGGAAGAGTGGGGGGCAACATAGCTGAAAAAGAATGGAGCAAGGTAGCTTTAAGTAGAAGATTGGGGCAACATAGCTGTTAGGAAAGAATAGGGCATCAATTTAGACAAATCAATTAATTGAATTAGTTGCCAGATCCAGGCAAAAAGACCCTTCTTCAGAGCTCCAGCTCCGCTGAAAATCCTTGCCCCAAAGATTAATTAAATGCTTTTGATGTTCAAATTCTTTATAAATAAACTCTGAAACTTAAGGTCCTCTTAAACTCTGTAGGATAACACATTCCTGAATTTGATCCACTTTCTTGGATATCTTTTAAAGGAAAAAATATCTTTTATTTTCTTTAATTTGAATTATTTTACATATCCAACAGAGTAATTATAAAAAAAACCTTAACAAGAAATTCTAACAGATTTAATTTAAAAATGCATTCAGATTATAAAAGAACTGTTTTGTTCACTTAGTCAGCTTTACTTTTAATACCGTACTTTTTAAAAATAATAGATTATGTCAGTTTATGTTTCATGACTAATATGATATAAAAGTGTGGGCTTATATAGTTTATTTTAGTACACTTAAAGCTTTTGCAATACAAAATCTAAACATTCTAATCGCTAAGGTATGGAAACACTTAAATTTAAATTTTTTTTTGGTATTAAGTTATAACAGCAATCCTAGGTCATAAAAAAAGAATGATAGTTCACACACATTAACTTCAAAATACTAAGATAACAAAGTGTCCCTGACTCTCACATCAGTCTTCCCAGGATTTCCAAGATTTTTAAAACTACCTGTATCTTTTTTATCTGGTATAAAATATAATAACCTCAAAATATATCAGGTGCAAGATTATTTGACACATTGAAAACACAAGAAATAATTACAGAAATGTCATAAGCTTACCAAATTTTTTTTATTGATACATGCATTCTTTATAACCAAATTGAATTCATTACAACAATAACCAATGTTTTCTGTGTTTGTCTATGAACACAGAAAATATACAAGTCTTTAAAATTTGTATGCCTCGATTGTTTTGTTCATGTTCAAGATGGGCACATATTAGTTTCCTACAAAGAACTCCATGGAATGAATTGAATACACACAAACTTCACATCATAATCATTGTAATCAGGGATAAGTTAAAGATTTCAAAATTTATTTATTAATTATTAAAGGCAGGGCACATAATGTTGGATATTTAATTTTTTTTTTGTGGTTAGAATCACAAATTTAATAATAGGAACTATGAAATGAATCATTTTTTTTGTCGATCTAAAAAATTTCTAACAAGAAAAAACCTGCATATTAAGTTAAATTTCCAAGTAATATTGACATTTAATAAAAAAAGTATACTGAGATATCACTGGAAATATACAAGCACCTAGTCTATGCTCACATTATTGACCAGGCATTGGCTGACACATTTTTTAAGTCTCATTTTTGAAGGGCATTGGAAAAATTTGTCAAGCGAATGATATCTCAAATTTTAAAATAAATATCCAGGCATCCGAAAATACCAAACAAAATTTTAATGTAATTTTAAAATGTTCTATTTTTAAGACAGCTAAAATCAATTTATGCTCAGTACAAACATCCAACAATTATCTAGAAGTTATGCAACAACTAATATTGACAGGTAATTAAAAAAAACAGTAGACCTTTTCACTCACACAATCATCAGCCATTGCATTAGTCATGCTCCAGTCTCACCATCACAACTTATTTTTTAATGGAACTGACAGAAGTGCAATGGCCTTAAATGGATCTATACATTTTAATGGACTACATCTTTAGGTTCAAGAATCCCAAAATTAACATTACAGTCAATGAAACTGATAACTTCACCTAAAATAATGGAAGGAACTGAAATGCTTTTATGAACACACACTTTATTTTAAAAATATTTTATTGTCTAATGAAAATGGATTGCTCCTCAAAAATGTTTTTCTTTTGGATATATAATTAACAACTTTTGAGAAATAAGTATTAGATGACCTTCATTAAGTCTGATGTTAAAAAACACATTTTTGTATAATTTGTATATTAAAAAATGTACTACTTTAACTTTAAAATCATTTTTTTTAAAGTCTACTTGAATTAAACTATCATTTATCTCATGATAGCAGCTACTGTTACGATGATACAGAAATTCTTCAAACAAATTTCATCTACCCAAGCGACAGACTAGCGAACCAGTGGTGTCTGTTTAAGTTGTAGTAAAATAGACCGAAATCTTGTCACGTCTTTTGTGCACTTGGAGTTTTTGGGGTTGAACTCACAAAGGCGTGTAATTTTTTCCCATGCCTGGCCAGGAATCTTCTCATCTCGTTCTTTTATAAAAGCATTTTCAGCAGCTCTGAGAAATAAAAAATGTAGAGAATTATTGATGACTGTCCAAGAATTCTTGGCTCAACACAAAAAATCTTGTCTAAAAAAAATCATTTTTTTTTTACCTATGCCAAACTCTTTTTTTAAAGTTGATACTGGTATGAACGTACCATAAATAAATTTAAAAAAAAAATAATAAAAAAAAATAGAAGAAATAATTCATGTGAAAGAAATCAAAATGGTTGACATGATTATTCTAAAAAGGCAGCATGATCATCTCTGTAAATTGTTCAAACAGCTTTCTAAAACGGAATTAAAAAAAAAAAGGTAGGAAGGGCATAAAATTATATTTTAAAGCTATCACTATCATTGATTTCACCATTATAATAAAACAGTTTTGAACAAAATCTAATAACCAATTCTAAAGAAAAGGAGCTCTAAACTCTTTGATTAGAGTACACAAATAAAAATGCCAATATTATGTAATAAATGCTGCATTGGGTGCATATTGTGAATTGGATAATGAAAAAAAAAAACCCACATAGCTGGCCAATACATATTAAACTACAGGATAGAAGTACTGCAGGAAATAGTTGATCCTTAACAAATGGTAACAACATGGACACTACAGTAATTAGCACCAGACACTATCATAATAAAGAGAAAGTAATACATTTAAAAACTCAGGAACAATATCTTTACAGCACATTCCTTGACCAAAAAACAAATGAGCCAAAATATTTCAAATAGTTGACGATAATATGTTTCAGGGGCAATCGTTTATACAGGGAATTTACAAATAAATCAATCATTTTTTGTTTGTTTCTTTAGCCTAATTAGCTGCCCATCACCAATTTTTTGTCTCTATTTTCCTATCAGTACTCTCATTCACTAGAAAAAGCTATTACTATTAGAAATGCTCAAATGACTGTGACAACATAATTTACACATGCAACCAAAAATATCAGCATCCCATTAAACAAAAGCTTAAATTTTATAAATCCTTAATAAACTGGGAGAGTTGGGTAGGATAATTAATTTTTTACAAGCGCTGAACATTTTGCTTTTACAAACCACTTTTTAAACCAATCAGAATGCTTAAATAAGAGAATAACTACAACTGAACTACAACCAGCCACCACTACATCTAGAACTAATAAGACAAGTTTCAATAGAGGACAAGAATATTTAATACATTCATTATAGAAAAAAACATCTTGAGTAAAAGAAAAAAAATGATTTTCTTAGCCAAAAACTAGAGAAAGTTGTTTCTCTCAAGCTTCTGTCTCCTAAATGTTTATCTAAATGCATATATACATTTAAACTGTAAATTTATAACCGAAGGAAGTCAAGCTATGTTAATGGTATGCTTTTAGAGTTAAACATGGTTTGATAATTTCATCCAAATTAAAAACGTATAAATTATCATTTATATTTATACTAGAGATACAAAGCAAAGTTTAAAGCCATTCATTATAAAAAACCCCGCTCAAGTTATGATGACTAAAATATTCTTCATTTTTAAGAATATTTATAGTCACTAAACTTACACAAACTTGATAATATGAAGGGAAAAAAAGATTCTTTTTAAAGAACTTTGAGATTTCATGCAGCTGAATCTGAAACAACTTAAACATCCCATAAAATCATCTGTTTCAAAAGGAACAAAGTGCAGAATGACACAAAGATTTTCTTCACTATATACTTCATGTTTATTTAAAATATTAAATGTTGGCTTAATGAAATAGAACATAAAAACTATTTGATTCCACTACAAATTTTTATCTTAAATTTAAATGACTTATAAATTATAAAGCAGATAATGTTATCTACATAGATGACAATAGAAGTTTCGAACACATTTCATTCATTTTGTTGAGATCAAATAATAACTCCAAATTCTATACATTAAGCTAGAGAACGATTAGTAATGACAGATATGAAAAATTTTTACTCCCATACAAGCACTATGTGTACCATAAAGTGAATCAAGGTAAACAAAAATCTGGCGCTACAGTTATGATGCTTTAGTAAGTAAACTAAAAGAAACATTTAACAAGAAAACTATTGACAGTAAAATTAAAAAAAAAAAACTATGTCAAACAAAATATTTTGTTCTTCACACATGAAAGACAATCTGACTCGCCAATATATTATTTAGGAAATAAAGTGTATAATATTTTAGTAATAAAAAAATTTACATTTAAATTAATGGGCTTATTTATTCGACAGAATTTTAAAACTTAAAAGAACTTGGTATGTGAGCTTATTATAAGAAATTCAACTCTAAATGTTGATAAAATAAGTAGAGATAAAAATAAGGTTAATCAAATTAATGTATCAGGAGGTAAGGACTGGAGGTCACAGCTGCTAATGGGTGCTCAAGTACACAAAGTAAATAGATGAGTACGTAACATGTATACCACTACGACTACACCACCATCACAATGAAATGTCATGAGAATCTCATACCCCTGGGATTCAGTTACATCATTATGCTTCCTGGAAAAGCAAATATGATTTGAAGAAGCAAATAATGTGGGATATCCGCTAACCAGCTACAGGAGTCAAGGTTGGATTAAGAGAGTAACAAACAAACATTCTATCAGATGCTTTGAGCACGTGAAAAGAGACTTATCAGCTCTATGTTTCGGTGAAGTAAAGTCTCAACAATAAGGGCAAATCAAAGGAGTAATTTTTGTCTTGCAAAATGTACTAGAAGAAAGCAGTGTGGTCAAATGATAACAAATTGTTCTTCAGAAATATTAAAACATTACATTATGATCTTAATTGACTGCATTGCAAAATCAGGTGCAAAGCCAATCATCAAAAACTTTGCCAGTGTCCATATATGTGATCTACAGTATGCGCCAAAAGTAACAGTACTAAAACTGACACATCTTGAATGTGTATCATCTTTTGTCAAAGGTGAATAGCTCTAGCCACCATGTGTTCCCTGAGTTGTGTTTGGACAGATAGTGTTGTAAGGTGTCAGAGCATGACAAAGGTGGCAAGGAAATTACGCGACATTTAATCAGACGACACCGAGAAACACGGCTACGATGTCTATTGTTAAGAAATTTCACCATCCTGGAAGTGTCTTTTTAAGTAGCTGGCCAGTTAAAAATGAGAAGCACACATGTTCTGCAGCAGATTCAAAAGTCACCCCTAAAAGTCTACCATGAACATCTTTGAAACTGAACATCAGTGATATGCCCGTTAGCAGTTTTTATAAGGACATAGGTGCAGTTACGTACCAGATATAGGTGGGACAGTGCTTGTCAGAGTCAGATAAGCAAGCTAGGATAATGTATCATTGGAGCATTTTATGCCATGGTGTACGAGAATCCATACTTCCTTCAGGAATGTGTGGCTCTCGGAGAGAAGTCGCATTCACTTGGACTGCTTCATCAATCGTGAGACAACAGTGTACACAGGAACATAGTGCGAGTGTGACAATGTGGTCAATGTTTATTAGTCCCCTATTTCATAGAGGATCAGGACGCAAGGCTCATATTGTAAAAGAACTCTACAGGGGAATGGAGATACCACCATTGCTTCAGGATTTTAGAAGGTCCCATCATGCCAGGAACCTTCCCATGAATAGACGATGATATCAATGGAACGGGGTGACCAGCCGTACCACTTGATCTACTGCCATGCTGCAGTAAAATTTTTCCAGGAGAAATCATATCACGTTAATGGCTTCCTGTACATGTGTCAATCTCCTTGATCTTACGCCACTTGTTGCCTGCTTGAGGAGAATGTTAAAGGAGAGTATGTTCAACTGTCATTCTCCGCCAAGAACTGTGTCTGCTTTGTGTGAGAAAATAGTTTCATTTGGTCTGCAGCAACCCTTGTTCAGTGATAAGTTTGAAAATCTAAATGAGGAATATGAACACTGGCAACAGCGAGGCGATGCACACTATTAAATTTACATTACACATGGTAAATGAACGTGATAGTAGCTTGTATGTTAGTTTTTCTTCTATAGAAATAAATTTACTTAGGACAGCAAGACAAAATTGTTTGTGTTCTCTTTTCGGTGCTGTTACTTTAGGCGCGTTCTGCGCAATGATTTTCTGTTACTAGAGAAGGCCAAATGTAAAGCATATGATGGGTGATCAAGCTCAAACCAAACAGGCAACTTGATATGATATTTGTTATACAAGCAGCAGAATCAATAGTTTTTTCAAACGCTGCATGACAATTCACTTGACTTGATAATCTTAAGGAAAAAATTTTTTTTGAACACTAACAAGTTATGAGAGAAGCTAATGTTTTTATAACCCAAGTTCAGCAAACACTTGTAAATAAAATAAAAATTTCAGTTTGAAATATTATAAGATGTACGCGTGCAAGCTGAAATATAACTCTAAAAAGGTGGTGATTGCAGATTGTCTCAACTCATGTATGACAATATGGCAAAGCAATCAGCCATTTATAAACACCATTGCTGTGTGTCTGTGAACATTATAAATCACAAATACAAAACTGCAAAAAGTAGAGACAAAGCAAAATTTAAAGCTTTATAGCCATACATCTAACCACAGTCTATGACCATTTACAAGAAAATTGATCATTGCAAAAGAACAACAAAAAAAAACTGATGAAGCCACATCCATAATAAAAACACAGCCCCACCCTGCCCACTAATCTTACAAAACAGGGAAGTCGAAAGGTATAATCAGGTTTAATTAATTACCAAAACCAAAAGGTAAAACCAGGTTATTTGTTATTTTGGCCTCAATTATTCTTGGTAAGCTAGAATTAACTTTGTCTGTTTTACCAATGCCCACTGGTGAAATGTTAAATACATGGATTGGTCAACATATAAAGGGTTAATCATTCAACACTTTTACCTATTATTCTCCTTCGTCTTTTCAAGTTGCTCCAAATGATGTTTGTACCAGTCATCAAGCTCTTTTTTGGCTTTCTCCTTCAACTCTTTCTTGCGCTTCTCTTCTTCAGAGTCTAAAAACAAAAAACACAAGCTGATTATATGTACTCTCCAGAACCCCTTTGGCAATCCACAGACTTAGTCAATAGCAACAGTGAAGTCTTAACATCCAAGATGTCTGAAAAAGGAAATGCTATTAGGTTCGCCTAGGATTTTTTGGCAACATGCTTAAAAATACTGAACAAAAAAAATTTATCTGGGTTAACTCACTATTCACACTTCCTAATCATTTATTTTCAGGCTGGGGGTGTGCGCCATGCTTTCCTTGGAGTTTTTAATATTTTTTTTAACACTCACAATAATAAGCATTTCTTAAAATTATATTTATATTCATTTTTTCCCCCCACTGAAGGTTTTTAGCCAAAACTTTAGCTGTGTTGACTAAAGTTTTATCATGCTTTATAATAATTTCTATCAACTCTTTTTAAACTTAGTTTAGGCTTAACTCATATCATGAGAATAATTTGACAGCAAGAAATTTCAGCCTTTAAAAAAATGTTGATTAATTGTAACAATTTTACTTTTTTTTCAACTCTCTCTTAAATTCTATAACAAATAGTTAACATTGTTGCAATAATTCAAACCTTTCTGTTCTATCCTTGTTTTCTGCTCTTCTCTCCAAATTTTGATTTTCTCTGGTACAGCTCTCGTGGAGTCTTGTTGTGATATAGCCTCATACATGTTGCTTGGGCCATTGGTCTGTTAAAATAGTTATAATGACATGAAAAGGCAAGCATGTCAAGAGCACAATTGGATAAACATAGCAAAATCCAGTCAAAAGACTCATACTGTATTCTGATTTACTGTGTGTTTTCAGAGCAATGCTTATATTAGATTATATATGAGCAATAATTAATGTTAACAAGATTAATATTATAGGCCAAATTTTAATAAATTGACAGCAATTTAAAACATTTTTCTATATGTAAATATATTTGTTTATCAGATAGAAAAACTGGACAGACCCATGTCACCAAAATGTTTCATCTCCACTCCTTAAAAAACTACATTTTCCTTATGATTGTGTGTAACTCAAATAAATTTGTAAGTTTATAACAAGCTAAAATTTGTTGGTAAGACTTTAACCGCCTTACTTCAATCACTGTTTGGTTACACAACTATTTATAGAATTCATTTTAAAATATATTTACCAGGATATAACATAGTCTATTTATCTGAATTTCTAGCTTTAAAATATATTAATCAGACTCGGTACGAGAAATTACGAATGGATTGATGGGTAAGGCAATGTGTGTAACAAGGCAGAAATAATCCCTCTAAAGTTGCCAGTGATAAATACACTAAACAAGCACTACAACACTACCAAATTTTAATTACTGTACATTTTAATGGTGCATAAATCAATAGCTAAAATGTCACAATGGTGTGATTTATAGATTAAAAAAAAAAAAGCTTGGAAAATCTGTGCCCTTCATTTTAACTCTAAGAAACTCATTAGTTAACTAAGGAAATAATAATAAAAAAAGTTTTCCAGGAACCAGGTTTCCCAGGAAACAGGTGAATACAAATGTATGAAGTTACAATTAAATATTAAACCAGGGGACATGCAAAAAAAAAAAAAAATAAAAAATCTCTCTCTTAAAAAAAAAAAAAAAAAGTTTTCCAGGAAACAGGTTTCCAAAAAAACAGGAAAATAAAAATATAAAAAATTAAAAAAAAAAAAAAAACCAGGGGAAAAAAAAAAAAAAAAAAAAAAATAAAAAATCTCTCTCTATATATATATATATATATATATAAAATGGAACCCTAATATTTTTTTTACTAGAAAGCAAGGAAGTGCATTTTTTAAACAAAACAAATGTACACTGGCTTTCTTAAGGGTAAAGGTTGAATAACCATAACCGTAAAGATAAATACACTCTTTCCACAATATGATCGCTATGCACCAAAAATTGACCCTTATCCTTTTAAATAAAATAACAACTCAATATGTTAAGTAGATATTGCTATACGGTAGCAATTGACATTTAAAATTAAGTGCATTTCAATTTTTGAAAAGTCTTGTGAAAAGATTGCAGCTATGAATGTAGAGTATGCAAATGGGTTATTGCACAAAGGGGAGGTAATAAAGTACATGTATAAAAGTGAAAAAGTAATGGAGAAAAAAAACTTCTGCTGTCCTCACTGAGGTTTCATATTGATCAGAGCCCTCGTTATAGCCCCCATACAGATGAGTGTCACCGCCAAAGTCATCATTTCCACCACCTAATATTTCAAACTCGCCCAATCCACCATCAGAAGCACTCTGAAGTAAAATGGTTTTTATGTGGGGGGACCAAAGTATGTGTGAAAAAAATTGGAAGAAACACCAAAGGGCCACATGGTAAGTCATCACTTTCTATGCTTGATAACGATCTATTGTTTTATATACAAAAAAAAAAGATCCTTTATACTATTTAGAAAAAGCAAAAATAAGATTTGATGTTAAGATTACAGATAGTTTTTCTCACTGTGGCCAAGTACAATGCAAGGATTAGATATTTTAAAATAAAATTGACCCCTGTGACAAAAAAAAAAAGTTCTGACCGATCATTTTAAAAATTTGAAGCCAGTGATAATCTTTTTAAAAACATATTTAAAAACTATTTTAATAACATAAACATAGGGTTAAAAGTCCATTATGAACAAAACAAAAAAAGTTGTAAACAAAAAAGGGGGTTAATGGGCACAGAAGCCCCAAATTTAATTAAGATCCAACAATTTAATCTGTGAGTGTTAAATATTTATATATATATATAAAAAAAAACAAAACAAAAAACAAGAAGAGAAATGAGTGGGGAATTTCTCACAGTTAATGATATAAAATGTGGAAAGTTATAAAGTGTACAGGAGCAGGACACAAATTTATTCCTAATTCCACACAAATGTAAGAAGTATTTCTCATTTAGAAAAAAAGAAAAGAGTGACTTAAAACCTATAAAGTATTTTAAAACATCTTAAAAAAAAAATTGATGGGTGTATGAAAGATAAACTAAATACCTGTTGCCCGCCTGACCCTTGCTGTAGGCCTTGTTCATAGCTTTCGAATTCTAGCAAAAGAAATAGGGAAAGTCAATTAGAGTTAAGCATAATATTTCTTTGAAGGTGTGTCTCTGATTCTGTGCTAAAAGTATGTCAAATTTTATTTACATGTTCACAGCAAGCTACCAGGCTGATCTCAATGTAACTTGCTCCAGTAGGAATTCTAACTAAAACACTCTTTTTTTATGCCCATATATGACTACTTCAAAACCATTTATATTCAGCAACATTTCGTTCATGATTAAAAAATACCCTTTCAGGAAATGTCTATATTTGCCTTGCTTTATAAGATCCTCTAAATGAACATTTTGATCAATTTGTGGAAAAATACATCTATGGCATGAACTGCTGAAAATGAATAATTTTCAGTGCAAAATGGAAAGCACATTTATTTAACCTTTTGAGCTCAAATAAACCATTTGTGGTTTATTGATACTCGAGGCAAAATGCGACCACAGGTCATTGATACTTCTTGCTCTTTATCTAAAGGGATAGAATAAAGTTTCTATGTTTGCCATGAAATTAATTTATGGGCTGAAATTACATCAGGAGAGGGTGTGACCGCAGCTTGTTTACACTTCTTGCAGGGTATCTAGAGGGATGCAAAAAAATTTGCTATATCCGCTATGAAATTTATGTATGAAGAAGAAAGCATTATGCTCTACCCACAGTGAATTATGCTTTGGGCACATCTCGCCCTGTCCATCATAAGCTCACTTAAAATTTAATTCAAAGTACTCAATTAATGACAAAATTCATTTATTATTAGAAAACTGTGAAGTAAAACACAAAAGAACAAAAAAAATGGAATCGACTGTTAAATGGACAAAAATATTTTTGTATCATTTTCCGATGGAACTACATTAAAACACTCCACTGGTTACTATGACATGTATTTCTTTTTTTCCCAAATAGTTTGTTGTGTAATTTTGTTGGTTTCGAAGGGATTTTATAAAACACGTTTCTATAAAAAATCAGTTGATCGATAAGTTTGTTTATTGTCTATTCAGTGGATGTGTGATCAGATTTTTTCACCTATTCATACGGTTAAAGAATGGTAAAAAAAAAGATAAGAAAGACAAATCAGATTTCAGAGGCGTCGGCTTACAGTGGAGTCATACAATGAAGTACATGTATTAACTGATGGTGTAATCTCAGCCCTTCCCACCACCTGCACAGACTCACATACATGGCGGACAAGGGATTACTTTACATGGTGTAAACCAGAGACATGGCTGGTGCACGTGATCTTGACATACCGTAACAGCTAGGGATGAAGAAGAATGTCTTAGTGGCTTAGAGAGGGTTAGTGCTGACCAGTGCAAGTCGAGAGTTGTGCTGCCCACTACATATAAAAACAACAAGCAAACTACAGTTGGCAGAAAATGCTTCACATCCATATTAAGAAAAAAGTGCCGCCTGTAGTGTGGACTGCCCCCTCCACAGCCCCCTTCCTACGCAAGTGGAATGACTTCTTCTTGGCAGTTGTGAGTCATCTCATAGTAGACAAACTAGTTGTTTAAGAGGTCTGTGGTTGGTTAACTCTAATTCAATAGGAGACACTTGTTATTTAGATGACAACTAGGTTGACTCTGATTTGTGATGAGAAAAATGAGACTGTCTTTGTGATTTTATATGATCTGACTAACTGGTTTTGCTTTATTAGTGATCTGTTTGTTCTGGTGTTCACTTCCCTATTTCGCTACTTTCCTGCTTTTTGCCCCTTTGTAAATCACCAAATATTTATTGACAACGAAATTGTCAAAAAACTTTTTAAAAAATTGACACTTTCATTACAAGTTTTAACAAACATTGTCCCAAATACCCCCCCCCCCAATCTAGATATGTTACGTCTGTAATGGATGAAGGACCATGGGAAGGAATAGCAGAGCCTTGGACAAAGCTTAAAACTACAGCCCTTTGTATACAGAAAATGCGCCCCCCAGCGAGTACCACCTTTACACGGCCACGCACGGATGGCATGACATATTTCAAGATGCCTTGAATATGAAATACTTAAATATTTAATCTTGTCTAATCCCACCACTGGTTTAGAAAGAAATATTGGAACCAAGTCCTAGACATAATTAAATAGTTATAAAATAATGACAACATTCATTTCAATCTAAATATATCCCTTTGGGCAAGGTTTATTACATATCTTTGAAGACAGAAGAGTTCTCCTTGATTTATCACAATGGCGCCGTGAATTAAAAAAGATGAATGAAATGTACTTTTGAAAAAATCTTGTACAACTTCAATCAATTTGTTAAATGGTGTGATGTGTCATGTGTATTTGATTAATTTGGGCTATTGTTGAGACTTATACCCATGACATCATTAGCAAGTTTATTTAATATTTGTGCAGGAGTAATTCCCTTTTGTTTATTTTATTCTTAATTTTATTGGATGAAGTGTCAGAAGTGGCGAAGGAACATTTTAATAACCGGTTGGAACAAGATTTCATGTGAATAATTAACGAAGATTAAAAGAAAAATTAAATTTTATGATTTTAAAACTGAAATTGTATGTTTTTAAAATTCATGCAGAGAGTGTGGAAATGTCAGAATGATCGAAATATTAATGAAAAATAGAGAAATAATTTTCGTATAGGGTACTTTAAAATAATGGGGATATAGAAAGGTGTGCTTAAATATTACGTCACTGTCGTCTTATTGTGCTCCGGTGTCCGGCGGTAAGTTCAAAATTTGTTTTTTTGGCTTTTGCATTTACAATTTGGTTGTAATTTTAGATTTAGGTAAGCCTAGATTTATCTGTACATCTCCACAATTTTACCCACTCCGCCTAAGCTCTCACTCGCCAAAACACATGCTATACCTCGCGGCAAAAGCTCACCCAGTCGGTTACAGTACTTTGATTAACCCCCACTTCTGTCGCCATATTTCCCAAAGGCAGTTTTTTAACCCAAAAGTGTGTCAATAATATAATGTCACTAAATGTCAATCTACTTTCACTAAACCACGATACCTTCCTTATACTAGGCATAATACAGCCATGGTTTTTCTCACGACATCTCCATGCAAACCCATCTGAAACATGTGCACTTGAACACAATTTCATACCCTTCTTACAATTAGGACATTCGTACCGGTCAGCAATAAGACCATCACTCATGACCCAATCCATCACACTCATTTTACCCTGAGCTTCCAGACGATTCCAACTAAAAAACGGGCGGTAAATTTAACTTGCATAACCAATTTATCTAAAAAACAACCGGCTACCAAACAACCGGCAAATATTGTAGATGTAAAAAAACCCAACAAATTTTTAACTACTTTTTGTTTTTTTTAGTCGCCGCCATCTTGGTTGACATGGTCCGTGACCTTCTCACAGATCATGTCAACAAAGATGGCGGCCATGTTGGGGAAACCCCGGGTATCTCAACCTTTACCTTAATTTAGATACTTCGATAAAACAAGGGAGACTACTACTTTTTGTGTATCGGAAATGGGCGTCGGCGCCGAAAAATCCAAGTTTTTAATTTTCCAATGTGTGTGTCTATTTATTATTAAATTAGTTCTTTCAACATATATTTGAGTTCCGTTTCTGGCCTTATAATTTGGAAGACATCTTGGCCTACATTTCTAGCCAACTATTTTGCTTTTTTCAATCGACCTTTATTTTGAAAATCTTTGGTATATATAAGGCATCTTCGCATACAAAATTTTTTGTGAAATAATAAGATAAGGCCCTTTTTGATTAAATCTGTATAAGCATTAGATATTGATCTATATCTGTGCCAAGTTTCATTGATGTAGGTCGTGTCCCACGTTCGTTATGCTTCTCCCAGTGACCCATATCACCATAAGGTGGCTCAGCCTAATTTTTACATGGCAAAGGCCACGCCCCCTTTTTAATGGCGGAAGTTGCCGATACTTAGGAAATATTTAATTATTACCACTATATACATCAAAATATTTTATATTTTGTGTTTCAGAATGCATTTTGAAGACATTTAAACTGGAATGTTTTAATTTGAGCTTTAAAAATCCTGTAGAGTCCATATTATAAATGATCAGAATTTTCCCTGTGCAACACGTTGTCATTGGCAACCATTCACAGCCACTTGCATAACGGCTATATCGTAGTACTTTCTCAGAGTTTCATTCATAAGAGTTTGCCGTGTGCAAAAACTATTAAACCATTGGTCAGGGAAAGCTTTAAATAATTATTCATGTGCCAAAGTTGAAAGTTTAAAATTAAGTCGACCATTAACAGTATTTTAGTGATAAAGGAATGCGTTGCCTTATATAAACTATATAGTCATTGCGCATGACGCGATAAGCGAAATGAGGTCACAGAATATGGAGATGCAGTCCATGTTAAAAATTAAAAAGGACAAACCAAGTCGTAGTTTAAAAATTCATAACTTTAAAACTACAACAGCTAAAAATATGATTTTGGTGTTATAATTCTGTGAAAAATTAGCTTTATTCAACTATGCCATTGGTTAATTTTTATAAAATGTTTAAATTTTTGACCAAAGTATCTACCTTAATACTTAATTTGAACAAAAAAAACGATGAATAATTACTTTTAATGTAATTCCATCATGTAAAAAGGACGTCATTACGCTAAAATAAGGGACTGCCATGAAATATTTTAATTCTATATTATTGCCCGTTTCTGAATTTTAGGTCACAAAATTGACTTAACTATAATCTGATTCTGAAGCCTGAGAATTTTAAGTTTAAGATTTATGAATTTAAGGCACGGCCTAAGGTGGGCGTGTCATCGCCAACATTTACTCACCTTGATTTATATATTGGTTCTCTTCAGCAACATTTACGTACTGATTCCCAACACCAAAGTTATCGTCTTCTAATCCGGCTAATTCTGACTGCTCTCTGGCCAAGAAATCCGCAGCAGGATCAATGTCATCACTTGGTGCTGATTCGAAAGCATCAAAGTCGGCCATTCTTACTTTTTTGCGTCACAGAAGGAAATGAGCATCTATTAAGTATCCTGCAGATATAATTTATACTCTGATTTAAAAAAAAAAAGAATGTTTAAATAGGTATTAAATATACTACAAAATTAAAAAAAATTGTATAACGTTAAATTCAAAATAGATTAAAAATTGATTGAAATTTATAAAAATGTGACAGTCTAACGTTTATTTAGTGCTGCATTAGTTCATCAAAATCAAAACAAACGGACGCGACGCAGTTTCTAAATATAACCTTGTAACCTCAATTTACTGGCGACCCAAAACATACCCAACAATCAACAAGCATATCTACTGTGGAGTAAATAGGAACTTTCATTCGATTTACGATAAACGAACAATAAAGAAATGGATTGCAGGAATGCAAAAGGGAACGAAAAGCGTTCGAGGAGACGAAAGAAATCATTTACAGAAGCGTTGAAAGAGAAATACTGTGGTGTGGAAGATGAGCCAACATTTGACTTTATAATAATTAGCCCCAAAAGAAAAAGCAACACCACAGCTGAGCTAGCCCATTTACAAACTGTTGTAAGTATGGATGGATTTTATAAACTAAGTAGACTTGTAGTGTAGAATCTTTCATATGTTTTTTTGTCCATCTTTAAGTCTTTGTGGTCGGAGTTTTTGTTGTACTATGGCACGGAGTTTTAACTTTTTAATTAAGACTTCACGACTTCACTATGTCTGTACTATTATTATTAGGTCGTTAGTAATAGTTAGTGTTAGACTAGACTCTGGTACTTACTAGTCCATACTTAAACTCTTTGTTACCAGACACTTACTCCTAGGTTTAGGTTAGTTCCAACTAAGATCTATCCTAGGCTCACAATTGATTGTGCTATGGCATGGCTTTTGAGTATTGACAATATTGTTATTTAAATTATTATTTTAATAGACCTATTACTATATTAATATTATATATTAGTATAAATAGTGGGCAATCCTCCGAAGTCCGGTCCCAAATTATTTCATATGAAAAGAAAATTGCAATGCACAATGTGTATTGTTAGAAAACAGCAGAAATGTCATAGCTTTTGCAAACAACCGTCACTTTACAAACCAGTTAGTAAATACTAAATATTGTAATTGGCACATATCATTTGCAAATAGCAGCATAAAACTTTCTGCTTGTGACTGTTGCCCCACTGAAAGGCCCCCAAGTAGCTGGCAAACAGACCGTGGCTAGTACCACTCTGATAGCGAAGTTTACGTTTCACTTGCATACAAAGTCCTTCAATAGTTTCTGTGTGAATGTACTGGATTTACAAATTCAGTCACGTGCACAATGACAGCGTGAGCATAAATACCGTTGTTGAGCTGACCGACATTTTGATAACCTTCCCAAGCGTAGGTGACGATAGTTGTCCCTGGTAACACATGATTAGTGATAATGCATTCAAGTGTTTGTGCATCTCAAGGGCCAACAACCTCCATCCAACATCGTTCACTGCCACGCTCAACCAAGCCCACAACCCATTTACCAACGCGTCGCTGTCCATAGTGATATTTTGCGTGGTGCTTGAGTTCAGCCAACCATTGAAGAACTAGGTCAAGATGGTATAACAATAAATCCAAAATAAACCCAAATAAACGCACATGGCTAGCGCTGTGCTACACAGATGATAATAAATACGCTAAGCTACAACAGACTTAATGGCGTTAAGTAGTGCTTACAGCAATCATTGTAGAATCTCTTTCAGAGACGTGAGTACAATAATAATACAATAGTTGACAATACACACTCTGCATTGCAATTTTTTTCATACGAAATAATTTGGGACCGAACTTCGCAGGATTGCCAAATAGTGAGTCTCAAAAGTCCCTGGAATCGATTCTAATGTAGAATTAGTGATTAGAATGTAATTGTTAGTGGAGTAATAAAAGTTATAATAAGTAGCACCACTAGCCTTTTTAAACTTATTTAACGCATAGGGTATTAGTATTAGATTTGTAGACTATTTTTAATTTACATTGCAATGATTTATTAAAATTAATAGTTGTTAATATATTGATAGTATTATTGGATTACATAACATAATAGGTAAACATAGTCAGTGGCATAATTTTGGGGGATGCAGAGGGTGCAGGCTGCATTGGTTGACACCCTCACAAAGGGGGGGGGGGGTGACACCAAATGGAAAATTCACAAAGTTCGCTTGAGTTGGTTTCATAAAAGAACTTGGTTGAATACAAGAGCAGGGTGCTACCAGAATAGCCAACCACTAAAGCAGGTTGCCATTAGATCAGGGGGCCACCAAACAAAGGTGCTGCTAGAACAGGATGCCACCAGAGCAGGGTGTCACCAGATAGTGCAGGGTTCCATTAGAGTAGATTTCAAACAGAAGAGGGTGACACCAGTACAGGATGCAACCAGAGAAGGGTACCTTGAAAACATTGTGTTGTAATAATAGGGTGTCACCAATGCAGGTTGCCACAAGAGCAGCATGTCACCACTCAGAGCAGGGTGCTATAAGTATAAGAGTTTGTTGCAAACAGAACAGAGTGCCAACTCAGTAGGGATTTCACCATCACAGGGTTGGGAATCTCTCTCAATCCTTTTGTTAAGACTACATTAAAAAAAATTTTTCATGATCTTTGGCTTTAAATGAGAAGAATTTTAAAAAACTGAAACTTATAAAGAAGTATTTGGGAAATCCATGAAACAGTCAAGGTTTTCTGGTTGTACAATTTTTTAAATTGAAAGTAATAAGAGGAAGAATGTTGATTCTGATGAAGTGATTTGCATCTTGAAAGATAGGAAGTAAAGTTTTGACTATACCATTTAATGTGTCAATAAAAGGTATGCTACAGTTTGTAAATGATGTTATCTTAAATTCCAAGTATTGTTATGTCTTTTGTTTCTTTAGTTAGGGCTAATATTAAAATACTATAAGCAGCTATATATTAACTGGTTAAGAATTACTCAGTGCCGGTTGGGGATTGCTGGAAAAGGTGTGGGGGTGACACTATGAGTTTAACCCACTGGATTACACTAATCCTAGTGATGCCTATGTACTTAGTATCAGAGCCGTCATGTGGCTTTTGGAGCCCCCCCTGCCACTTTTAGGTTTTGTGTTTTCTACATTTTAAAGTTGGTTGTTAACATTTTCTCCAGCCTAATAAATTTTGGATTTTTTTTGTCAAATCGGTTTATGGAAACCGGTTTTAAACCAGTTATCATTTATTTTTACAATGCATAACAAATTATTCCGTACCTCAAGCTCAGCTGGACATTATATTTAATAAGATTGAAAGCAGTAGTTATGCATCCATCTATTTTTCTAGAACTGTCAAAGTGATGCTCATTTTGATATTAAATATTATTAATAATTATCCAATGCCTATAATATAATTATAGCATATGTTTATTATTTTTGTAAATCATTTAAAAATAATAATACAATACTAAAACTGTTTTTTTTTAGTCTAAATAAAATAAACTCATTTTTAAATGAATTTAAATTGTCGCCACCACCCTTCACCCTTTTCTATTTCCCCCATTAAATATATGTAAAAAAATAATATACATATATATATATTTTAAAAAATTTCCATGTTAGTATTTATGTATATATACTATGCCGTAAACATTGTTTTTGTTGTAAAATTCACTTGTCTGTACAAGTTGAGCTCATTGAGAAGTTAATATCCATTTCAAACTTTCTGGCATGCTTCCAGGCTATAAGAAAGTCATTGCTCCTTATAAAAATACATTTGCACATTCAGAACAGCTACGTCATGCCTATATTTAATCAGAATGGATGTCCTATTTCTGTCAGTAAAATACTTTGGTACAGAAATGACAGTGTTTGTTTGGTTCTTCTGGATTTATGTACTGAAATGAAAGTAGCAGTTAAAGTACAATAGAAAAATCCATCTCAGAAATTTGTTGTTAAATTATTGTGCTATTTTGTGGAAGTTCAAATGAAAACTCAAAGCCTGAGAAACTCATTTAAAATAATAATGATTTTGTGTGTGAATAGTAGGCCAGTAAATTTGTACTTTCTTATGTCATTCTCAGCCTTGCTCACTCCCAATGGAGAATAGGCCAGCCACAATATACTTTTCCACCTATCCCTGTCCTGGGCTATCTTTTTTAGTTCAGCCCAACTTTTCTTCATTCTCTTCACCTCTGCCTCCAATCCCCTCTTCAGTATGGCCTTTGGTCTTCCTCTTTTCCTGGTATTTGAGTATTCCAATTCAGGGCCTATCTTGTGATGTTAGTGTTTGATTTCCTTAATGTGTGCCCTATCCATCTCAATTTTTTTTTGTATCTCCATTTCCACTGGAACACTTGATGTTCTCTCCTCAAGGACAGTGTTACAAATTTTGTCAAACCATCTTATTTTGAGAATCTTTTGCAAGCATCTGTTTATAAAAACCTGCAGTTTTTTAATGTTTTTTTTTTTTGTTGTTCTCCAATTTTCACAGCCTCTTTGGCAATGTCATCAATAAATCTCCTTTTATTTTTATCCCTCCTCTTATTGGGCATTTGTGTAGTAATCACAAGCAGTCACTTTTGCTGCTCTTGTTTTGCTCTCTAAATAAATGATCGTCTTTCTTTTCCTCTCTTTAAATTTGTCTATTGTTTCTTTTTAGAAACACTCTTTATGTTGATATTCTTTCTTCCCTAATTCTTCTTCACATGTGTCGGTCCAAATCCCTCTACTATGTTGCCATTGATCTTCTATGTCTCCATTTATGTTCTCGAGCTGTTGCATGGCCTCAGATCTACTTGATAGAGTTATTTAAGGAAATCAGTGTTATAGCGCTGTCTTTTCTTTTGGTTTGTATTTTGTCTTTTTAGTTTAAGCCTTACTTTCACTATCACCAGGTTATTTTCGGACAAAGCATCCGCTCCCCTCTTAGGCTCTAACATCTTGTAGGAAGTGTCTGAACTTTTTACTGATACATATTATGTGATCAATCTAGTTTTGGGTCTCTTGGTCTGGTGATATCATGGTTTCCAGGTCACCTTATGGAACTACTTGTGTGGAAATATGCTTACTCCTATTACCAGGCCATTATTTGCACAAAAGTCTGCAAACATCTCTCCACTTTCATTCGTGTTTCCTAATCCATGTCTTCCCAATACATCTTCACAGCCAGTATTATTGTTTCATTTTTGCATTGAACTCCCCCCATGATAATGTTAATATCCTTGTCTCTTGCACTTAAAACAACATTCTGAAGTTTTTCATAGAACTTGTCTTCTATAGTCTCCTCTTTGTCATTTATTGTTGCATAAATTTGGATGCCATTTAGGTTGATGTTCTAAGGACTGCTTTTATTTTCCTGGGTCCCACAGGCTGCCATTCAATCAGAGTCTTCTTTGCAACAGGTGACAGTATCAGTCGCCTCATACGACATGGTTGCTTGGCAATGACTTATTCTACTCCTATATTACGTCCCGTTAGTTGCACTCGGGGCAACATGATTTTGGCTTTATTCAAAATATTGTTCATGCACGGTTTCATAAGGGTCAAAATGTATGCATATTTTAAGACTGGCTGACGTGCTGTGATTTTATAATGTCATCTTCAAGAAATTCTCTGCTGCTGATTCATGTCTTCCAGACTAATGCTTAGATCACATGATCAAATTTTAATAAAATTATTTTAATAAAATTTTTGTAATTAACATTAAAAAAAATGTTATGAAAATTTGATCACGTGAACTGAGCATTAGGATTTAATTCTTTCTGAAAATTTCAGCCAATGTTAAATAATTATTTTTAACAAAATGTAATAACTGGGGTAAAAATTGTTTAAATGGTTGCTATTTACATCAGCTTCTGTAATTTTTATTTTTTGCAAAGATGATATTTTATTTTATGTGGCAGGGATGGCAATACATTTGAGAATATTTTTCAAAAGAAAAGCTTTAAAAATGAATTGTTTAATATACTTTGAAATTTCAAGGAGAGAAGATGCTGACTGCAGCAGAAATAAAAAATTAAAAAATGTAGCGTTGTTCTTTCTGCTGGTTCTTTTTTTAATTTGTTGAAGCTATGTGTATCTTTTTTCTTCACTATTTATTTAAACATTTAAAAAAAATTACATCCCAGAACAACTCAATCTATTTTATCATGTTTTTTTGGTGTGTATTGCCGACAGGTGCTCAATGAGATGGACGTCACCAGGGCAGATATTCCATGTCACGGCTTAACATCCTTGTGCCCAAATGTTGTTGATCTTGACCTTGCAAACAACCTCTTGGAAAAGTGGACAGAACTGTTGACCATTCTCTCCCACCTGCCTAAAGTGAAGTATGTAAATGTCAGTCGGAATAGTCTTCGCTTAAATTCGGTAAGAATCCTCATCGCATTCCTTCTAATTGAAGCGCTAAATAAAATGAGTAAAAAAGAGAAGGGTTAAACCTGAAAAAATAACTGACACTTCTATTGCTGCCCACAGATACTACCTACCAGCTAAGTGCTATTTCTTATTTTTATACCGTTTTTTTCTGTTATTTTGTTAGCTGACGAAGGCTTTCTGCCAACACGTTTGCTGTTTTGTTTATTTTTTCAGGTTTAACCCTACTCTGTTTTACTCATTTCATTTTGTACTAACCTGATTGCAGCCTCTCCCCTTGTTGCCCCTAGTTGAAGTGTTAAAATTCTCATATAAAAGGCTGGGATGGCCAAAGGCGCTGTCTCAATCTGCCATCATGCAGTTCACCAGACATTTAAAAAAATGAATATTGTGCTGCTTTCATTATAGGAATTTAAGCCCAGGCCTTTAATTTTGCCTCCAGTTACTGAGACTTGTTATAGAAAAAATGTTTGTCTTTATTTCATGTATTCATTGCTCATATCATTTACCTTTGGCATCAACACAGGTGCCTTAAACCCCCACCCCCCCTCAACCCATCCTCACATCTTACTGTTGAAAGCTGTTGGAGTCAAGGGCACACTAATGGCATCTACTCTCATATTTTCATAAAGCAATACAATTGGTTATAGATAAAAGACATTCTCTCAGCCCACTCACAGCTACACATTTTTAAAATTTCTTTACCGATTTCTTTAAAAATTCTCATTTTATAATTAACACTGAATCCCAGCAGAAATGATTGATTAGGAACACTAAACACCAAAGGTTTATCTCCCCACACAACAGTTCACACATGTGGACAATTTAAACACATCCAAATAACCCAGTGGTTTGTCCTAATAACTCAGAGATTTGTCCCAATAACTCAGTGGTTTGTCCCAATATCCAGAGGTTTGTCCCAATAACCCAGTGGTTTGTCCCAATATCCAGAGGTTTGTCCCAATATCCAGAGGTTTGTCCCAATAACCCAGAGGTTTGTCCAAATAACTCAGTGGTTTGTCCCAATAAATCAGAGGTTTGTCCAAATAACCCAGTGGTTTGCCCCAACAACACAGAGGTTTTTTGTCCTAATAACCCAGAGGTTTGTCCCAATAAATCAGAAGTTTGTCCAAATAACCCAGTGGTTTGTCACAATAACCCAGTGGTTTGTCCCAATAAATCAGAGGTTTGTCCCAATAACCCGGAGGTTTGTCCCAACAACACAGTGGTTTTTCCCAATAACCCAGTGGTTTGTCCCAACAACACAGAGGTTTTTTGTCCTAATAACCCAGAGGTTTGTCCCAATAACCCAGTGGTTTGTCCCAACAACACAGAGGTTTGTCCAAATAACCCAGTGGTTTGTCCCAATAAATCAGAGGTTTGTCCAAATAACCCAGTGGTTTGTCCCAACAACACAGAGGTTTGTCCTAATAACCCAGTGGTTTGTCCCAACAACACAGAGGTTTGTCCAAATAACTCAGTGGTTTGTCCCAATAAATCAGCGGTTTGTCCAAATAACCCAGTGGTTTGCCCCAACAACACAGAGGTTTTTTGTCCTAATAACCCAGAGGTTTGTCCCAATAACCCAGTGGTTTGTCCCAACAACACAGAGGTTTGTCCAAATAACCCAGTGGTTTGTCCCAATAAATCAGAGGTTTGTCCCAATAACCCGGAGGTTTGTCCCAATAACCCAGAGGTTTGTCCCAATAACTTAGTACTCTATGGAATTCCAACACAAACAGCTATGAATATCATTTAGATCTGCATCAAACAAATTTGGCACTGCTCAAGTTTCAAAAGTATATATTGTTCCAGAAAATATCCAAAAGCATTATGAATCTAGAGATCAATCAAATTTTTAACCAATCTTAAAAAAACTTGTTGGTGTCCTAGGAGGACCATCTTCCTGATGCCAAGCTGTCGGTTGAAAACTTGGCCCTCAATGATACCGGTGTGTCAATAGAGGAGATTGTCAAACTGTCACACCTCATGCCGATGTTGAAAGAGTTGCATTTGTGTGGCAATAGTAAGTACTGTAGACTGATCCTGTGAAGATATTTAGTTAACAAATGTTTTCTATTTCAATTTTCATTGCTACATCAGCTTCTCACTGCAGTATTAAGACTTCAATATTGGATGATAAGTATTCATTATTTCAGTTTTCATTAGTCATACAACTAAGTTAAAATTCCTTGGTCTGCTGAACATTATCATCAGACTGCTACTGTGACATTAAATAGCATTCTAAATCACATGTTGGCAACCTGTTTAGGATGATAGATATTAACAAAGGTATGTTTGATAATGCTTTTTTTGGGGTTAGACGTTTCCTCAAATTTTACATGGATAGAACTTGATGGTACCTGTAGTTTTACCTCCTGATTCGTGTTACATCTGAGAAGATTATCGTCTTTACTCCACCACAGAGACATGTGTAAGTGCGTTTTACAAGGTTCGTTGACTCAGGTGTTCTTCCTTCAACTGTTAAGTGAAGCCAGAACATACAGTTTAGGTTTTAGGACCAGCTATAAATATAATTTTGTTATATCAATGATTGAATCTGATCACTCCTACGTCAGACTATGAAGATCTGGGAGATGTTGATCTGAGCATCAAGCAAGGGGCTCTGTCCACCCTGGAGTGCTTGAGACTGAACAACAATGGAATAACAAGGTGACTGGAACGCTTCTTCGCCTGTGTCATTATCAATTCCATGAAAAGAAATATTCCATTAAAGAAGTCCATTTTCATTTCCATTAAAGAAATGCATTCTTTCTTTGTTCAGGACAATAACCTACAATACTATCTGTGTCTTATGTGAACAATGTTGATACATTTCCCAATTATGTGGATAGTACTTTGGATTCTTTTAATTATAAATTATAAATCTAACATAACTTTAAAGCTTATATATTTCCAATGCATATTGGATAAAATAAAAAAAAACTTTAAGAAATCATTCCAGTTCTCTAATGGTATGCTATAATTGTCATCTTTAGCTTTTTAAATATATTACAGACTTGTAAGAATTATATACCTTTGAGCAGTATAGGTGGCTAGATTGTAATGGATTTTATACTGACATGCATTGGCTAGGTTTCATAATGAACATGCATGAGCCCTAAATATCATATATGTTCTTATGTGACAGTTGGTCTGAAGTGTGGAAACTGCGAGACTTGCCCCATCTCAAGTTCCTGGTATTGTCAGGGAATCCCGTACAAGATGTTTTTTACGAAACTGATTCTAAGCCCACCAAAGATGACCTGGAGCAAGACTCTTCTCAAAATGCCAGCGACAGATGGGACCAATCGAATGACTTTTGTAATGGAGGAGCGGCGCACGTTCAGTTTCCTGATGTAGATGAGATAGATCAGTTTGGCGGTGAGAGTTGTCTGGATGACGTCAAGTTCAGACAGGACATTTTCTCTGCCATGAGCAGGGGTAAAAGTGATTCCGAGTCAGACGACTCTGATGCTGTCACCGGCCGTTACAAGTCTGAAAGGGATGGAGCAGTTTCGGCTAACATGGAAGATGTCAACAGCTTCTTGAGACTGTGTGATGCAGGCAATACAAACTTCAACAATAGCTACTGCCCCTCTACGCAGATCTCTGGGTACCCAGAGACACAAAAGTGTTCTGAAGACTGTCTTCAGATGTCTAAATTCCCTGAATCAGAATCTTTAAGGAATGATCACAGAATTGAAGATTGCCTTATGATGGGAAGCAAGCATTCCTACGGTGATAGGAAATATGACAGTGGGTCTGGAACAGACAGTAGTGATGAAAATTCTGATAAAGAAGCAGACATGGGCCATAAGGTGGCAGCCGAAACATTTCTTAATGATGTTATCAACGGTCTTGATTTCACAGACATTCTCAACCCAAACACCTCATCAATGACATCCTCCTCTGAGACCAGCCCTGCTGAACAAATTACACAAAAGCAAACGTCATTGGCTGGAAGACATAATGAAACAAAGAATGGTGACGATGCACATATAAAGCAAGCTCAACTCTATAATTCCATATCAGCCACACATAACACTAAATTGACAAATAGCAACTATTGGATGGATGAAATGCCAAATGAAGATTGTTTTACTAATTGTAGACTCGGTGATGTAGATGCTTGCATTCCCAGAACTATGATGCTAAGTGATGAAGATGCTTGCATTCCTAGAAATATGATGCTAAGTGATGAAGATGCTTGCATTCCTAGAACTATGATGCTAAGTGCTGAAGATGCTCGCATTCCTAGAACTATGATGCTAAGTGATGAAGATATAAAGTCTTTCATAGACTCAGATGTCACAATGCTAGCTAAATCTACAGCTCAGCGTTGTCTTTTCCCCATGCTTGCATCTGAGCTTACCGCCACCCATTCAGCTGACCATCCAACCATGTGCCATTCTCTCTCAGACACTAATGAGACGGGAACAAAGGCTGACAGTCTTTCTTTGAATGTAGATCCAGGAAGTAATTCCATCATAAACTCGTCCATTTCATCTGAAAGAATTGTTTTAAATCCTTTGACCCCAGGGGGCCACGGAAAATCAGCAGATAGCTTGAAGGATCACAAAACAACGAATGCATCATGCTTTTCATGTCAAGATGACAGCAACAAAGATATGGATAGTTCCCAACACATGCACCATTCCTGTCCATCGTGTCAACAACAGCAGAGCTACAGCTGTCACAGTAAACCATTGCAAAATGGCCATATTGAGCCAATCTTTGAGTCCAAACCATTTGACCAGTTACAAATATTGTGCCTTAGCAATGCAGGCTTGTCTCACTGGAGCCACCTGGAACCTTTCACTTTATTTCCAAAACTGACCAATGTCCGGCTCAAGGTAAATACATAATTAATAATACATGATTACAAGGTAATGATTAAAATTTATTTTGTTTGCTGTGGCTTTAAAGTTTAATTTTAACTTTAGAATGGGTAGAAGTATCATTGGCAAAGAAATGGATGGCACTAGGGGCAATTTCTTCAATTTGGACTTGTGAAGAACTACAGGGAAACACCTATGATAATGGGCCCCACAATAATATGAATGTGGATTTAATGAATCACAGCATGGCTGTGAAATTTAATATATTCATACACACACGAAATTTTTTTTCAAATTATTTGAAATAGATTATAAAAAATATTTAATTTAATTTTGGGGATGAGATCGTATTTGAAATTTGAATATATAATCACAGTTATCCATTACAACAAGAGATAAAAAAACTTTTGTTTCTTTAAAAACTTAATCACTCATCTTCCTAATTAAAAAAAAATTTCAATACAATTCACATGTAATCAAGGTCTTTAGTGAGGCAATGTTGTGTATTATTGTGCTAACCAGAAAAAAAAATTATAAAAATTAGTAAAACTATTTAATGCATGGTTAACCACTGCCCCACTCAAGTGCCTAAAAAGTTTCAAAGTCCCACCACCCACTCCTTAGTGAAGGAAAAAATAAAGGTCTCCATGGTGCCTTCACAAAGATAGAATGTTTAGGACCATTGAAGTATAAACCATTCAAGGGAAATATATTTGTATTGCAGTAAATGACAAGCAAAAATTGTGGAATTACCAAATATCAGTAGCAAGAGAAATACGTACCAGAGCGCTTTAAGGTTGTGTTCTGTACCCTGGCCTGTGTACAATATAAACCAATGACAGCAGGATCCCAAGCAACACCATTCTAATCATTAAATTTGCTGATGATACCACCACTGTTGGCTTAATGTCTGAAGTGGAAAGAATATACTGCAACCTAGTTACAAGCTTGATCAGTTGGGCGATGAAAATTTTCTTCAATTGAAGAAAATGAAACAAATGGTTGTTGATTTTTGGAGGGGGAATCACCCAATTGCATATCTCACATAAATAATTATAATATAGAATAGGTAAATATTTTGCATGATACATCCCACCCACTTCATCACAGATACCTAAGATAAGCCCAGTCAGGGTGACTTCTTTCTCTAAGGTTATCACAGAAAGATATAAAAGTTCTTTTGTTCCCCAGTCCGTACGAATTTACCAGCATGCAACCCCAGCGATGACCAAATCTTAATGAGCACTAATTAAATGAATATTGTCACTAAAGTTAATTTATTTTTGATTTATATGCTACTGAAATACGTTAGATGTCTCGTGTTTAAATTTATTTATTTGCTGAAGTTAGATGTCTTGTGTTTAAATTTATTTATTTGCTAAAAATGAATGTGTACAGTGTAATAAAAAAAAAAATTCCATTTATTTGGATCAATAAAGAACCTCATCTTATTTTGTAATTTGAACTTTAAAATAGGAAACCTTAAATCAAGTCATCATGCATTTGAAAAAATAGAGCGTACGTTTTGCAAAACGTGAAACATTTTAGGGTTTTGAACATAGCCCCTCAATTATTAGGGAAAAGCAAACTTTTATTATGACAAAGAGAATTAGAGAGATACATCACCCAAAGCTTTGGATTGAACTGTACTTTGTTTTATATTTGATGAATAATGTAATTTTAGGCTACTAAAAGTTTTAGTCACTGGATTGCCGTTCATAAAAAAAATGCTGCACCTTTTTGCAAATCTTCATCCATTTTCAGAACAATCCACTTTACTCGTGTCTGAATGGTGAGGACAAGAGGAAGATGTACATTGCAAGGTGAGGTACTTACTGATAAATGTAATTGTAATATTCTGTATTAACATGTTTACCACCATATAATCTATTTAGAAACTCTCACATTTTCACACATACTTTTTACTAGAATTAAATTGCCTTCATTTGATGTATCTCCCGCCTATTCAAGCACCTTTTATTTGATCAGTCTCCCACCTGACTATGTCCCCTACCATTTGATCAGTCCCCAACTTGATTATGTCCCTTTTCATTTGCTCAGCCTCCCATCTAAAGCTCCATTTCATTTGCTCAGTCTCCCAACTAATAACCTCCCTTTCATTTGCTCAGCCTCCCAACTGTAAATGTACTGAATGGCAGTGAAGTCACACCCATGGAGAGAGAGAAGGCAGAATTACATTACCTGAGATTTTACATGGACATTGATGAGAAGCCAGACATCTACCAAACACTTGTAAAAAAACATGGTCAGTTGAAGTGTTGAAGTTTTGTTGCTTTTCTCATCAAGGATGCCCTGCTAAATATATATTCTTGTACTTCACTGAGATATGCCGGACATTGCCAACAATCGACAATGCTTGATTTTTCAAATTAAAGATTAACCTGAAAATCAACCACCATGGGCAGACTGAAGTGCTTGATCGTAACTTTATGTTAACATTTGAAAACACAAGATTTAATTATTAAATCTTAAAGGTTACATTTTTTTACTTAGTGGGAAATCAGAGTTTTTTTGTATTTGTTACTGGACCTTTTCTTGGTGGCAAATATAAGTTTTGTTGTCTTTGTTACAGGTCCTCCAGTAAAATTGGTTGACATTGATCTGAGGGCAGGCTACCATGAATGGGCCAATCTCAAGTTTGTATCTGATGGGGTCGTCAAGTTCACACGCAGAGTTCACTTGGTCGAGCCCGTCTCCAGACTGCGCAGTTTGATAGCAACAAAACTGGATGTGCCAAAAAGGTAAAGTTTATGGATCGTAACTTTTACGGCACTCAAACTTCTTCAGAGGTTATTGAAGTCATTGAACTGGTTGAATAAATTAAACAGAATAATGAGTTAATAACTGGATGGAAAAAATGAACAAGTTTAAATGTGCAGCCTTTCCTCTTTCCCCCATGCTGTGTGTTCGGTTAGTGTGGGAAAGACATTTTAAAACTTATCTTTTGTTAAATTAATTATTAAAAAAAAACAACAGAAATATTTGTTTTAATTAAGTTTAATCTTTCCTCATTGAGACTTTTGGTAAGGCTCCTACAACTTAGAATCAAGTAGGGATTAATGCTGAACAAAAGAGTAAACGTCTTCCCAGTTTTGTATCATTAAAAAACTTTTGATGAAAAAATTTCTCACTTAAAAAATTAAGCCATTCCTTTGAGGTAAAGGAAGACCATATTCCTACATGTTTAACTATATCTAAATTCCAGCTTTATATGTTGATATATGGGGGTATGAAATTAATATAAAAAAAGAGCTACTCACAAACCACATGAAAGCATTTAAAAATAAATACCTTATCACATGTGAGTCACATTTTGTTCTTTAATTAGCAAATGTTTTCAAACCTTGTTCCAGTGGTCATAAGTCATCCACAATTCTAATGTGACATTTAAAGTTTTTTTAAAGAGCAGCTTTAAGAAATTCTCTCTCAGTAAATTTTATAGCTAATGAAGGTTTATATGTTCAGAACACTGTTTAAATTGTTCCTAGAAATCATTGACAAGTCTGTCATTTTTCAGTTGTTAAAGTGTTTGAAAATAAATTCTTGACTGAATCACACATGAGGTCAAAATTGTTTAAGGCGTCTGATTAAAACATTTACTTGATCCATTCCAGTTGTTTTGTGCTGTACCACCACACGTGTGGACCGTCCCACCCGGAGGCTGAGAGGGAGCTGGTTGAATTACGCTGTGAGTCACTGCCCATGTCAAGGTTCGGATTTGCTGAAGGTGATGAGATCCACATAGATGTGAAAGGCTAACTAACCTCCACACGCCTCTAGTCTCATTGTTGGAGTGCCACTTCAAGAAATAAGTAGGTCCACAGAAGGTCCGGTGTTCACGGAGCATGCAATGAGTCCTGCCGTGAAGCTTTATTTAGTGAAAGCCACTCTGTACTCTAAGGTTAACTTGAACCAAGATCACTTGCATCCTAGACCGGGGTACTCATTTCTCTTCTTTAGTGTGACTAAAGAATGGACTAAATCATTCAAGTTTGACAGCCCCAGTTATTGTCTGGCCAATAGCGTTGACATGTTTGGTCACTTTATGCCGGGCCTATAGGGTTGACGTGTTTGGTCACTTTATGCCGGGCCAATAGCGTTGACGTGTTTGGTCACTTTATGCCGGGCCTATAGGGTTGAAGTGTTTCTTATTACAATCGGAATATAAGACCTGTCTTTTGCAAGATCTAATATGCATTTGGTACATGTTACCCTATTGCTTTACGTTTACTAGTTCATTTATATCAGGCCAATGTCATTCAGTTATCTTCTAGTGATGGTTGAGACATAAAATATTTCATTTAGTTGATTGTTGCTGTGCTCGGTATGTAGTTCCCAATGCACAAGTGTTGGACAAGACAGAATGGATTGCATGGCATCGTGTAGTTCCTCAAATACTGAATGAATCCGAGTGTGATGGCATGAAGTCATTATATTACAACTCTCTTACGTGTGCACTTATATTCATTTATTTGTTTACATGAATTATAGTATTGGGGAAGGGGATACTTCTAAAAATAACATGGCCTCGCATCTCTAGTTTGATTGAAATAAGGCAATAAATCCTATTCTTGTTGAAGTCCCATTTGTAGCCCTGTGCAGCTATTTGAGGATTCCTGATGATGTGCAGCTCAAATGTATTGCAGGATCTACTCATGTGTCTACAATGTATCTTCAGAGCTGGTGTTGAGTATAAAAGCTGACAACGTGTTGCAAGTTTGCATCGAATTTAACAGAAAAAGCCCAAAGCAAAGATTGAAATAAAATAGAATATGGTGTTGTCCATGAGATAGAGGGGAAAGATTTTTGTTCTGTGGAGTTCAGTAAAAGCATTAGGCTCGTTTGGCAGCTAGACTGTTGGACACTAAGCAAGAAGCTATTCAAAATGCTGACCACTACTTTGGTTTAAACCAAACTAAGTTGAGATATTGACCATGTCTGATGACTGCTGATGTATGCAGAAATATACTGAGTTAATCTACATTTATGGCACACTATCTGTGCTGTGTTACCCTGCATTTATGGCACACTGTCTGTTCTGTGTTAACCTGCATTTATGACACACCATCTGTGCTGTGTTAACCTGCATTTATGACACACTGACTGTGCTGTGTAAACCTGCATTTATGACACACCATCTGTGCTGTGTTAACCTGCATTTATGACACACTGTCTGTGCTGTGTAAACCTGCATTTATGACACACCATCTGTGCTGTGTTAACCTGCATTTATGACACACTGTCTGTGCTGTGTAAACCTTCATTTATGACACACCATCTGTGCTGTGTTAACCTGCATTTATGACACACTGTCTGTGCTGTGTTAACCTGCATTTATGAAACACCATCTGTGCTGTGTTAACCTATATTTATAACACACCATCTGTGCTGTGTTCCATTTTCATATATAATTCTCATTTGAGCCCTTGGTTTATTTTTTTCCCACTACTAATAAAGGAATTATTATCAACAACTGCCTGTACATAAATGATGGTACATCTATACATATCTACTAGTGTCTGGTTGTACATCTAGACAAATCTACTAGTGTCTGATTGTACATCTAGACAAATCTACTAGTGTCTGATTGTACATCTAGACAAATCTACTAGTGTCTGATTGTACATTTATACATATCTACTGTGGTCTGATTGCACATCTAGACTAATCTACTAGTGTGTGATTGTACATCTAGACAAATCTACTAGTGTCTGATTGTACATCTAGACAAATCTACTAGTGTCTGATTGTACATCTATACATATCTACTCTGGTCTGATTTTACATCTAGACAAATCTACTAGTGTCTGATTGTACATCTATACATATCTACTGTGGTCTGATTGTACATCTAGACAAATCTACTAGTGTCTGATTGTACATCTATACATATCTACTGTGGTCTGATTGTACATCTAGACAAATCTACTAGGCTCTGATTGTACAGCATTCAAAATGTTCATGTTTTATTTTTCATTTAGTAGAATAGTTTTGAATAAATTATGACTATGACTTAGGGTATGTTCCAAATGTATGTTTACCCAGAGAACACAGGCATGCATGGAACCAGTGCTAGCAATGTCTTGTAACATAGGCACGCATGGAACCAGTGCTAGCAATGTCTTGTAACTCAGGCATGCATGGAACCAGTGCTAGCATATTCTTGTAACATGGCCATGCTAAAAATTGAGAATATTGAGAAATGTTGGATGATTTTGTGTATTTGTGTGGAGTGGGGGTGTGGGTCCCAGGCCCTGTTTCTTAGCCGAATCTCTTGAATTGAAATCTAAAGAAAGTGTTTTCTTTACACCCTTATGATGATGATGATTGAGTACTTTAAGAGCGCTTGTGTCCATGCTATTTTAATCATGCTCACAGCGCTCTGATGTGTTCAAATCTATTTAAAGAAAGAAAAACAACTGATCTCACCTCCTTTCTGGCCACAGTGACTCCTGCGTGAAGTATGAATAGATGAAAGTCTGTGGCCATGGCCATGGCTACTCCTAAATGCTCTCCTGAAGAAATAAATTGTTGTGACAAACACTATCAGCACCGCATGTTTTTCTAGGTGGGGCTGAGGACTCGCGCTGTAAGCAATAGAACAAAGTAGATATGGCTGCACACATATCATCTGATGCAGTTGTGCACAATCTGTGCATGGTAAAAAGCCATTGGGTGTGGCGTGCATGGTAAAAAGCCATTGGGTGTGGCGTGCAAGGTAAAAAGCCATTGGGTGTGGCGTGCATGGTAAAAAGCCATTGGGTGTGGCGTGGATGGTAAAAAGCCATGGGGTGTGCGCCTCGATGAATGTGGGAAAATTGAACGTCTACAATTTTATTTCCTGAGGAACATTGCAAGAAACACAAGTGTTCGGTTGTGTTGCCTTGCGATGTTGTTATGGTTAATCAAATGATTTGATTCAAATTAACACTTGCATCCATTGTTTTTGGGGGTGGGAGTTATTTTAACACTCGACTAAGATCCCACTGTCTTTTATGTGCCACGTATGAGTAGAGGTGTAAGGGTTCAAACCTCATTTAGTTAATACTATTTTTTTAGAGAAGTTTACATAGTTTTGAAATTCCCCTTGATCCCTTCCCCCAAGGATTTCTCTAATCGTTTAGCCCAAGGGGGGCTGGATATTTTACTAGTATGTGATAGCTTTGATATGTACATAAGATATACATACAGTGCACATGTGACGTATGCTTAGTTTATTGAGTATACAAGATTGGCATTGCCTTGAATTGTTTTATTCTGGATTTACTTACACATGTTTTGTGACACTCTTTTTTTAATTATTGGCAATTCTTTTTTTATTTTTAAAGTTTATCTAACCTTTGTGAGATTGTAGATATTTACCTTAGGACATTAGAAATACATTATTTTACACAAAAAACAAATGCAGTTACTGTATTTCGATTTTATTTGCTTCTGTTTTTGTCTGTCAATATTAACACATAAGTAATAGAGAATAATTGAAATGAAACGTGTTTGAGCAAAAGAAGTGTTTGAGTGGGAACATGTTCTAATTTATGAGGGATGTCCCTTGCTCTAATTAAACTGGCTTTCTTCCTCTCGAACATTTCACAAACACAAGAACCTACAACCCATTCCTGAAATCATACAGATGCACACCCTGTCCTCTCAGAAATATTCAGGCACCTCTCTTTATAAAAATATGTCAACACATCCAAAAAAAGACAGACAAGCGCCCTTTCCAAGTCCAACAAAGACAGAGAAGTGCCCTTACAAAGTCCAACAAAGACAGACAAGCTCCCCTTCCAAAACTGGAATTCCTTAAAAATGTTGACATCAATGAATACATTTAACCCTCAGCTAAAATGGGAACTCAGACTTACCTGCACTGAAAAACATTTCCATATTTAAAAAAACAACAACAACCCCCCCCCTTTTTTTTTTTTCTCTTTAAAAGCACCAATGACTTGTTGGCTACTTATACACTATTGTTCTAGTTTGAAATATAACAATGCAAATAGTTAGGTGCTTATCGCTTCCAATTGTTGGCAGATTTAAATGGGTTTATTTAGAACAACCCCTCTCCCCAGCTATTTTGACGTTTAAGAGAGTTGTGAGTGCCCTGTGCGAGGAAACCATGTGCCGCGCCACGTGCAGTTGATACTAATGATATCATTCAGCACGACTCAAGGAACGTGGGCTAAACATTCTAACACTACCACTTCCCAGGGGCCACAGGTTTAGCTAATCATACTTGGGGCTGTTGATGACAAAAAGGAAACCGTTCAGTTGTGTGTGTGTATCTGTGTGTGTGGTTGGGAGGGGGGGGGGTGAGATGTCGTGGTGATAGAGGCTGTGGTGTTCGTTGTGGCAAAGCTTGAGATAGTTACTGCTAACTGAGCGAAATGGTCGTGAGGTGTTTATTTAGGAGGAGAGAGAGCAAAAGTTATATATGTTTACCTCACAACTTAGCTGTCTGACCTCTTCCTTTTTTATTCTGTGTAATTACACGTCATACAAATTGGACCCAAACAGTTGAACACAGGAAATGGTCCTTTGAACACATGAAATGGTCCTTTTCAAAAATTCAAACATAATTGGTTTCAGTTGATTGATCATTGATTTTGATCCCTTGTTTCCCCAATAAAAATTACAGCTTGAGGACCCCTGCTGTAAAAAAAGAAATAATCTGTCTGACCCGCTAGCAGATGTTCAGGTTTAATCAGCTGATCCCCTTGTTAGGCCCGCGGTGAATACTATCCTGAAATGTCATTGTTTTAGCCACACCCAATCCTTTGCATCATTTCTCTCCATGCCAATTGTTCTGGTCTAAAATGTGCGTCCAGATATGGAGCACGCCCCCCCCCCCTTTTTTTTTCGGGGGGCGGTGGGGTTATTGGAAGATATATTGTTTGAGGAAGATATTCTATTAGATAAAAATCGTATTTGTAACAAGCAGTGACTTAGCAGCCAAGGTTAGATGGCGCCCGGGGTGGGTCAAAATTTTTGCTCCCCATTATTCCACGGAAAAAACAACAATAACAATTCATTTGGCCCAAAATTGCCACCACTCTATATAAAGAGGAAAATTTACCCCCCCCCCCAGGGCTGACCACCCCCTCTCCCTACGCCACTGGTGGGAAGCGATGTTAGGCGGGGCAATATTAAGTTAAGCCCCGTTACTTGTTTGTGTCCATTAATTGCAATACCGATATAAGCCACTGCAACTCTCGCCCGATATAAGGCACTGCAACTCTCGCCCGATATAAGGCACTGCAAC